ATTAAATATTAAACATTCCATTTAGATTTCCAGATTAAATTCTAAAATGAGTTATGCTGGTTTCTACTGATTCTACTTTCCTTCATAGACAATTAGCTGAAAACTCTGAGCAACAAACCCAACAGATTTAGAATTTGCTTACAGAAGAAAGTTGGGGAGTTGTGGCAGTTGCTTCCGATCAAAATGAAAAACACTATCCAATAAAAAATTCTTAAATAAAATTCATGGTGACTCAAATAAGCAGCAGATGATATGTGACAATCAGAAACATATTTTTCATATGTCTAGACGTGGCTGCCTCACTCATTTAATTCTTCTGTCAGAACCTGATTGACTGTAACAAAGGTCAGGATTAAATTTATGGGTATTACTTTTTTAAAAAAAAAAGAAAAAACACACTTCAGTATCCACCTGGAAACCTGACGTAATTATATTAAACCTTCTCGTTCTGAATGAGCTATTTTCCCTGCTCAAAAATACAAAATGAATAGTAAGGAAACAATATTCTTACTATAGTGGGAAGAAAAAAAAAGAAGAAAATACTAACAAAGTAAGGAAACAACAAAAAAGAATAACTCCTAAAGTGTTTACTGAAAGGCCATTAAACAACTTGTACTTTTTTCCTAGTTCCCATGGAACTCTGAGGCTGGCACTTCCCTTCATGCAGTTACCTCTACTCACTCTTGAAGGCTTGTGCCGTGGTTCTGGGTGCCAGGGTCTCATTTAAGCTGATTTAAGCTGTTGATGTGCCGTGTTTCCATTAGCTGCCCCTCACTTTGACAGATGTTCATGCACTGGCCAGGCACCTGCTCCTCTAACCTGCTTTTTCTTCCTACTGTTTTAGGCCCCTAACTGTCTGCTCTTGCATTCATCCTGTCCCCACTAACTGCACCTCATGCTCATGTGTTTTGCCCTGCTAACTCCCCTCGCCAACTCCTACAGCTCTGCTGTGTTTATCCCACCACCTCCCAGAATGACTTCTCTAGCATTGAAAAATGCGCATAACCTTCTAGTTCACAGTGGCTCTTAAACAGATTCTTCTCTTCCTATGCGTCTTGCAGAAAAAGTCTAAATTCACAAGTCAATAGCTTGACAATGCAAAAATCACCTTTTTCTGTCCCTTAAACCTTAAGAAAACTTTTACCCCAAGTTTTCTGTTCTTCTTCTTGTTTCAGAGTTCTTCCTTTGTGCACTAATACCAAAAGCAGTTCCTTTTCCTAAGGTTACGACACTCATCCTAGGTACATTTGGAGACAGTTATCTGGCTTAGGTATACGTATGCTATTACAGATACAGTTTTTCTTCGTAATTTCCTTTCTGACAGAATTAATGCTCAAGGACAGTAACATAACAAATGCAAACCCACAATATTTCAGGCCTGTACATGCAATCCTCTTCCATATAACTTCCCTTCTCCAGCATTGCACTTCTCCTGATCCAGGCTCTTTCTCTTTCCCCATTGGGACACAGAGGGGCCTATAGGGAGGGGAGATTTTCCCTTCACTTTAGGTCTTCCTATTAGGCTCGTATTCATAAGTCATTATATAGCAGCTACACCTATATACAATGAGGTTACTTCTACCAGCACAGACTCGAGGTAGCCTCAGTGTAACATATATTGAAAATCCTTTACAGTTGCAAGTTTACTAGGTCACTTGTATGTTGTATGTTGTTTCTAAAGCTTTCTGAGGAAGCAGGAGCTCCCAGTGGTTCTTAGTTTCTTAGTAGTTTTAATGCTGCTATCACACATGGTAAATGTGAAAGGGCCATTGTAGGAGAGGCTCAGGAGGTGCCCAGCAGGGATCTAAACAAGACTCCAGTGAATTATCTTGTAGATTTAGCATGAGATTTTTAATGAAATGCTGTTTCTTCTAGCACAGGAATTAATGCATATCCCCCCTTATTCCAGTGSAAAATTTCTGTTGAATTCTTAACCCTAATATACCAAGAAAAAAAAGTCTTTTTAAAAGAGATGTTTAGCCTAACAAAGAGAAGATTGAGAGGAGATCTGACCAATATGTTTAAGTATCTGAAGGGGGAACGTAGGGAGGAAGGGGMCAACCTCTTCTCAGTGGTGGCCAGTGACATGTCAAGRGGCAATGGGTGTAAGTTGAAACACAGGAACTTCCATCTCCATGTGAGGAGGAACTTCCTCACTGTGAGGGTGCCAGAGCCCTGGCACAGGCTGCCCAGGGAGGTTGTGGAGTCTCCTTCTCTGAGAGCTTCCAAACCCGCCTGGATGCCGCCCTGTGCCCCGTGCTCTGGGTGTCCCTGCTGGAGCAGGGAGTTAGACTAGGTGATCTCTAGAGGTCCCTTCCAACCTCAACCATTCTGTGATTTTTCACAGGTATATCTCCTAGAGTTGAGGTTTGAGGTGGGAACCTCTAATTTATTATACCAATGGCTCTGTTTTTATTTTGTTGTCTTTTTCTTTTTTATTTTCTTCCTCACTGAGAAGGGGGAAGCGAGGAGGGAGAAGGGATGACATCAGTCACATACCACAGCATCATACTGTGTTCATTAGGTAATTTAGATTATTAGAGGGCTAACTGCAGAAATAACAGAAGCTAGTATAATGCAGAGGTACGGACAGTGGGGATACAGACCAGGAGGAGGTGCAAATTACATTGAAGCTTTGTTTCTGATGGTACCACTGTTCCTAAACTAAATGGTAGAAGATACACTGACTTGGAAGTGTAGGCTCCTCAGGTGTATGTGGCTCCATCTTGCTTTCCAGGAAACTGCTGCTGCTGTTGTTTCTTAGATACATCCTAACAAGAGGACGTTAGAACACTCATACTAATCCATTTTTTTTTTAAAAATGGGTGATATAAAAATGCATAAGCATTTAAATATGCATTTTAAAGTGATGCTTTTATCTGGAAAAAAAAAAAAAAAAAAAAAAAAAAAAAAAAAAAAAAAACCAAAAACAAACAAACCAAAATAACCACCTAGGGTTAGTGGAGCCTTAGAGATTAATGATAGCACAAGAGGTTTCAAAACCAAAACCGGATCCATTTTGTTTATAAGAACAGAGACAGAAGCATGAGGCACGGTGCCTTTCATCCCCAACTCATGAGAGGGAACACAGGTTTCCAAGCTCCAGTGACACTGGACCCTCCCCCAAGCCCTGGAAGACATATGGAAAAAGAGACAGTCTCTCACCTCCGATCTTCATACATTCGCCTTGCTACAATGTGAGCCTCTTTCTGTGTCCTTTATCTTTTTCCATTTCCATCTGTTCCCGCACTTTCTCCCAAACTCCGTTTCCCATCTGCGAATGTTCTGCCTAGACCAGCTCATTCTCTTTTCCTCTTTTCCAGCACTCCAGTCCTTAATTCTTTGAAATCATTGATATATTTTTTCCATATGTCATTTGAGTGTCTTTTTACATTCTGTTCTGTTTTGATTCAAACAAACACAGGCTTGAATGAGGAAGACTTTCTTTCCCCCCAAAGATTTCTGCTATGGGAAGGGTTCAAACTGACACAGCCCCGGTGCAGGTTAGATTCAGTGCTCAATAATTTCTAGAACTATGATGTTGAGGCGTTCACTGTGTTCATAAGATGACAGTACAATCCATATCCACAGTGCAGGTTCCCAATGGCTTAGGTAGTCTCTCTGCTTCTTCTTCATGATCTTCTGTTTATCTATCCATGAGATACATTTGTTGTTAAATATTAAATGACTTATTCGTAGCTGAGACCAGGAATGACAAGGTCTATGATCTGTCTGAAGAAAGGTCAGCAGATGGTGTACACAGATCTCTTGTTTAGAAGAATTATGGCAGCTGGTGTCTTATCCTTAAAAAAAGGCTAAGTCAAGGGGAGCAAACACCCTGCATACTTGAGATATAGGGTCCAGACTGCTTCTCGTGTTATGATCTTCAAACAACTACGAGGAACTGGGGGATGTGGATAAGAGATGGTCTGAATTCTCTTGACCTTGGAGGCTTTTATCAGTCTTAAGCATCTAGCAGTCAATTTGAGTGAGATATAAAGTTTCTATAATGTCAGCAGCTTGACTTTTCTCAAAGGCACACGGTGCATGTAATGGAAGCAAGAGGAACATGCTTTTCTTTTCTTTTTGATATTTCCAACATACCTTGCTAAGCCTATCCAGCATCATCAACCTCTAATCATCAATTTATTATCTAAAAATTCTGTGAAAAATTAACTGCTCAAAATAAACAGATATTTATAAATGTAGCTTCTTGGTCCCTCAGTTTTCCTTTTTATTATGATATATTTGATCATAAAATTCAAATTTTTGAGTGACAGAGAAGAATCTTTGAAGAAATGAGTAATTCCGTCTTGGGGTCTTCCATGTAGATGTGTGTGAATAAGTAATGTAGCATAAGCTGACTAGTTCAAAACTAGAAAAACATATATAAAAAGTGCCTGCTCATTAACTTTACATCATCTATTGTATGCAYTGCACAGTGTGTACTTTTGTGCAAAAAACTACACCATCACCTATTTGAAGCCTGTGTCATGCAGGAGAGGGCCAAATTAAGGCTGCACAGCCAATGCTCCAGGAATCAAATTCAAATAATTTGTACCGGTGTATTGCACAATACCATTTTCTGCAAGGAAAACACGAGGGGCGATGTGGAAAGGCTGCAAGCACGTGGAAAGTTGTCYGTTTGCCCAGCCGCAGCCTTGGCTCGTGGCTGCACTTGCTGTTCCGATGGCCGCGATGGGGGTTGTGAGCAGTGGGTAACGCTTCTCACTGCAACGCAGCGCAGCAGAAATACCCGTTCTGCAGCCGGGGGTGGCCGCTGAACGTGGGGCTGCACCTTCGGCAGGACACAGAGCCGCGTGCGGAACCCCGCAGGCCGCCGCGCGGCCCAACGGTGCAAATGGCGTCGAGGCGGCGSGCGCGGCACGCGGCGCGGCGGGCGCCAGGAGAACTACATCTCCCAGGAGCCTCCGCGCCGCGGGGCGCCGCCGATTGGCCCGCGCCCWGCCGGCGGGGCGGGGCTGCTGCCGCAGGTACCCGAGGCGGGGGAAGATGGCGCTGGGCAGTGCGGTGTTGTGCCGGTTGCTGCACCTGCCGGCCGGGGGCTGCCTCGCGCTGCGGCTGTTCCTGCTGCTCCTCCTCTGCGGACAGCTCGGGGGAGGACAGAAGAAGAAGGAGGTAGAAACGCACCCTTCCCTCGCCCTGCGCCTCCCCGCTCGCATCTCCCTCCCGCGGCGGCCGCCGGCGCCCCGGAGCGGGCGCCTTGTTGGCCCCGGCCTCCGTGTCCCGGCTGGGGCCGCCCCCCTCCTGCCCGGCGGCTCCTCTCCCTCGCCGGCCCGCACGGGGGCGCCCCTGGGCGGCGGGCCGCGGCGGGGCGCCCGAGGGGCGGAGCGCAGCGCAGCGCAGCGCTGGCGGGCTTGTCCGTTAGCCAGGGGCCGTTAGCCGTTAGCGCGCGGCCGTTAGCCGTTAGCGCGCGGCCGTTAGCCGTTAGCGCGCGGCCGTTAGCCCTTAGCGCACGGCCGTTAGCCGTTAGCGCGCGGCCGTTAGCCGTTAGCGCGCGGCCGTTAGCCAGAGGCCGTTAGCCAGGGGCCGTTACTCACAGCCTTGTGCCCGCGCGTTGAGGGGTGTCGTGCCCAAGGTCTGCACTACCCGAGGGGAAGAGCGGGACTGCCCAGGTTTAGTAGCAGCTGCGTATCCTCAACAGCCGTGATATTTCCATGTGTAAATATGCAACAGTGCTTCACTGTGCAACTGTGTAGAATCTTCCCTTTTCAGGTTTTTATGCTACTAAGGATTATTATTTTCTTTCTTCCTAGCTTGCCCCCAGGTTCCCACTACAGATTTCCTACACCAGATGCTAGGCCAATGCCTACACTCCCTATAGTTTTTCTTCAACTTAAATTAAGCAAGAATAGAACTTGTTAAGGACTGATGATTAATCACATGCTGTTCTAGTACTTCATGTAGTACTTCATTTCTTTTTTAAAATCTGCTTTCGGCGTTGCCAGAGAACTTGTTCTTCATGGTGGTGGAGGGAAAGGAGAGAACACTTTTACTAATAAATCACCTCATTTAATTAAGTGCTCAACAAGGAAGAGATTGGTCAAAAAGATTTTTTTCTTTTTGCTTTGATTTTCTGTAAAGAAATTGGTGGTAGTTTAAGGTTTATAGGTCAAGAAGTCTGAAGTTAGTCTGTAAAATCATTTAATCATTTGTTTAAATGTCTGTAGGATGGTCTGACTCAGTGTTTTTTCCTAATCGTTGAAATAAAGTACTTGTGTATCAGTGTAGAGAATGAACACCTGAACTCTAGGTGCTTTCCTCTTCCTGCCCCTTATATCATAGTTTTTATGCAACTGGAGAGAGTAGGCAGCAATGTGTTGCTTTTCTGCTATAGTTAACTTTCACCCCAAACACTAAGTTAATATTTTTTTAATAAAATGTTTATTGTTTGACAACTTTGTTTCTCATTGGCGTTGTAACTTCTGTTGGCCATTTCCAGTGGTATGTTAGCTGTGCTCATAAGATAACTGAAATAATCTTTTTTCTTCTTAAATGGCATCCTTTCCTAATAATCAAATTAAATAGCAAATTAAAATAGACATCTACAGGTGCTTTTTATAATGTTTTCCAGTTTTACTGCAGAGATGTTAGCCAACCATTCTAGCTGGTATTTCTGTCTGCTCTGAAAACCTTCTTCCTTTAATCTGGTATGATTGATTCTCTATCACATATTAGTCTTCTACATCATTTTACTTTCATTCCTCATTCACAATTTTATATTCTCTGTGGACTAAATGCTGTTCATACAGTTAGAACACTTTCTGGTTTTATGCAGACTTACTGTATGTTCAACTACATATTTACAGAAATTAGTGCAACCTTTTAAATGGCTTTTCTATAAATGCAAGTGTAAGAGAGACTATAGTGATTTTTCGGGTCTTTATTCACTGGGGTGTACATTATGAATGGAATGTATGTGTGTATAATATATGGCACAGCTGCAACTTGTCTCCTTTTCCAATCTCATATTTAAAACTTGTCATGGTTCATCATTATATATATGTGTTGGGGTGTGTGTGTGTATGTATGTGTGTATATATTATATATATAAGGTATATGTTAAGGATGAAATATGACCTTTCTTAAAGGATGTAGTTTGAAAGCAACATTTTAAAAATATTAAGAAAGTGATTATATGAATTAAAGGAGCATAGGCTCTTGTACTGTGGGTGGTTCCTCTTCAGAATACTGTCCAGAAACACAGAGGCGAAAGAGGAAAATGATGGAGGTAAAAATTAGTAAAATGAACCTACTGTCTTCTATGAGTGTACTGAGAAGATTGCCATACATTTTATGAAAGTCAGAAGAATGGCTGGACATGCAATGAAATGTTTCAGGATGAACACTGTAAGAAGGAAGTTAATAAGGTGTAAATGTTTATTTCAGGAACTAACAAGAAGATATGTTTATTTAGTTTGCTTTGTCTGTATATAGTTTGTGTGTGATGCTGTAGAGAGGTAAAAGAGTGGAGAAAGCAAACATCTTTTCCAATCAACTGTTTTGAGAAGAGAAGAGAAAGTCCTTCTCTTCAAATGAAGTACTCAAGAATGAAAAGGGCTTGAGGTTTTGGAGTAGAGGCTTTRAGCAAAGGAAGTATCCTTAGGTTCTGTTTCAAAGTTGACTTTTTTTGTAATTATGTATCATCATTGCTTTGTGCCATATTGCTACAAGGTTAAGATGCTTGGTTATTTTCTTCTTTTGTTTGCTCTACAAAGGAAACATAGGCTGTAGTTTAGAATCTGGTATATTTCCGTTTATGTTTAATTTTTCTAGGGTTTGATGTGCATGCCCTGATGCTTGAGCTAATGTGCATGTATTTTTCAAAAAAGATATTTCAGCTTATAAAGCAAAAATATATCAAATATAATAAAACAGTTAAAGTCTTAAGATTTAGTTTTGCATTTCAATAATTTATAAATATGTGATAGCCTTGTTTTTTTTTTCGTTTTTTTTTTCTCTTTTATGAACTCTTTCAGATTTAGCTTGTTGTTTGTCACTTGTGGAAGTTATTGGCAGTTGTTCAGCTAATTGATTAGATAGTTTCCTTAACACTGCATATTACCTAGTCTTGCTGACTATACATCCAGGCTTTTTTAGAAGGGAGAAAAAAAAAAATTTCTTTATATTTCTTTACTTAGTTCCTGTTTAGGAGGTGAATTCACTAAGCCGAGGTGAATTTTGAGTATAGAATTAAACTCTTAATGCAGAACTGTGCTGTCCTCTAAGAGTCTCTTTATGAAAATTGTTCTGTTTGTATTGTGAGATTTTTCCTCACCGTGCTGAGGAGAATGGTTATTTTAACAGTAAAGTGCAGGAAGTGTTTGCTTGCCACAGTTTAAGCTTTTGATAATTGTAGCTTCTCTTTCTCTACCGTTGACTTCAGCGCTTCAAATTATTACATTAAAGACTTTGTCTATTTAATGCCTTAGTTTTCATCAACTGTTTATATTTTGTTGCACCATAAAAAGGCTTTCAGGTTATAGTTACAGTAAAGTATTGCAAAAATAAATTCCAAATGGATCATTCTGCCAGATGGTGGATGACTGAGTTGTTAAGGCGTGTGACCGGTAGTTAGTAACAAATCTTAAATGGAACTGCTCTTAGTGGTACATAAAACATTATTGATAGACAGATTCTTCCTGTGTATTCTCTGAACTGCTCAACAAGTGTTAGATTTTTCTAAAGTCATTCATGCTGAAATATGACTTGCTCACTGAGTAACCTGGTCAAAAAAGAGTATTTGAATCTGATCCATTTACCCTTTTCTATGAGTAATTGATCTGAATGACATGATCCATTAAAAACTATTAGTAGGTTTAAATATTGAGATGTAAGATAAGCCAAATTCAATAACCAAATGGATTTAAAGATGAGAATTTTAAAAACTCCTGCAAAACAGAGGCCAGAGGTTGAATACTAAGTTGTTTGAATTTGTTTTTGTAATTCTTGCATCACATTTTTAAATAGTATATTCATGGTTTGTATTCTTGGTAAACATATGCCTGAATGTTAAAGCATTTTATTTATTTTTTTTTCATGTTTTAATCTCTATGCCTAATTGCTGCCAAAGCTTCCAATCTTCAGTAAAAAGTTTACAGTAGGAAATTCACCRAATTTCCAAGAAGGGTTGAAATTCTAGAGAACTTGTTGAAGAGCAAGATGCGGGTCCATTAGGTCCCTTCTGTCCACAGCAAATGAGTTTTCTTGGTTACTGGCAGTAAGACAGTGCTTTAAATAAACAAGGGAGAAATTTCAGCCAGCCAGCTGGACAGGAGTGATGCATTCACACTGAAGTTACTGAGTAAACATTTTCATTCTCTTGTTAGAGACTTGCTCTTTTCCATAGTGTGGAAGGCAGCTCTTGCTTATGTTTATAACTTTTCTTCAAATCTCTATTGATAGTGATGCACTAACTTCTTTAGTGGGCAATTTGTTTAGAAACTAAGATAACTGGTTATTAATATCCGCTGGACAGGCTCCAGATGCTATCATTGTTTTTCATTTCCTCTGGTCTTTTTTTGTTGCAGGCACTGCTAACTGTTTTCCACTTAAAATGCACGATAGGCTTCCTTCTCTCTCTCTCTCTCTTTCTCTATCTTTTTGTTTTTTTTCTAAACTGGATAAATCAGGATCTATATATATAGATAGATATGCACATGTAAACACATATATTCTGGTTTGTTTTTGGTACATGATAAATCATTTACCCTTGTGTTGGCAACTATGGATTTTTGCCTTCATACAACTCTGAATCTAGATTCTAGAAATGATCAGTGTGTAAACCAGAGCTTCATGGAGAAGGTAGCTGTGAACTTGCAACACCAATAGGTTTTCATTTGCCAATGACATGTAACTTATTTTTCTTATATATAGTAGCTTTGTGTTTGGAGTATGCAGGTGGGAGGCTGAAGCAGTTAGAACAGTTGACACAGTTTCACAGATGCCAAATGATTGTATATTTCCTATAAAATACCTTAAACCCCGGACTGTCTGCTGTTCAGGATACTTGAGTCCTTTTAAGGTAGTCTGTATTAGTGTGTTAGTTCCAAGCAGGCTCTTGCTCAGAAGTAAATCGATTGTTTTCCCCCCTTAATGCCGTGTTTACCTTTTGGACT